TCATAGCAATACAGGCTTACCTTAAAAAGATAGAAACATTTCAAATAAAAGACCTAACACTACAACTTGAAGAACTGAAGAAACAACAACAAATAAATCCCAGAGCAAGAAGAAGGAAGGAAATAGTCAAGATTAGAGCAGAACTGAATGACATAGAGACAAAAAGAACAATTCAGAGGATCAACCAATCCAGAAGCTGGTTCTATGAAAAGATTCATAAAGTTGACAAACCTTTAAGCAGACTCATCAAGAAAAAAAGGGAGAAGACCCAAATTAATAATATCAGAAATGAAAGAGGAGAAATAACAACTGATACCACAGAAATACAAATGATTATCAGAAACTATTATGAACAATTATATGCCAAGAAATTTGAAAATCTTGATGAAATGGACAACTTTTTAGAAAAGTATAATCTTCCAACACTGAAGGAGGAAGAAACAGAAAGCTTGAACAGACCGATAACAGTTGGGGAAATTGAAGCAGTAATCAAGAAACTCCCAGCACACAAAAGCCCAGGGCCAGACGGTTTCCCAGGAGAATTTTACAAAACATTTAAGGAAGAGCTAACCCCTGTCCTTCTCAGACTATTCCAGAAAATCCAAGAGGAGGGAAGACTGCCAGACTCCTTCTATGAGGCCAGCATCACCCTGATCCCAAAACCAGATAAAGACCCTACAAAGAAAGAAAACTACAGGCCAATTTCTCTGATGAACATAGATGCTAAAATCCTCAACAAAATATTGGCAAACCGCATCCAGCAATACATTCAAAAGATTATCCATCACGATCAAGTGGGATTCATCCCAGGCATGCAGGGATGGTTCAATATACGCAAATCAGTAAACGTGATACACCACATAAATCAAAGAAAAGACAAAAACCACATGATCATCTCGATAGATGCAGAAAAAGCATTTGACAAGGTACAGCACCATTTATGGTCAAAACACTCAGCAAAATGGGAATAAATGGGGCATTCCTCAATGTAATAAAGGCCATATATGAAAAACCTACAGCCAATATCATACTCAACGGGCAAAAACTGAAAGCTTTCCCACTAAGATCGGGAACACGACAAGGATGTCCGCTCTCACCGCTTCTTTTCAACATCGTATTGGAAGTCCTAGCCACAGCGGTCAGACAAGAGAAAGAGATAAAAGGCATCCAAATAGGAAAGGAGGAAGTAAAACTATCATTGTTTGCAGATGACATGAAAGTGTACATAGAGAACCCTGTAGACTCTACCAAAAAACTCCTCAACCTAATAAGTGAATTTGGCAAAACAGCAGGATACAAAGTCAACATTCAGAAATCAAAGGCGTTTTTGTACACCAGCAATGCAATAGAAGAAGAAGAAATCAGGAAAAATATACCATTCGATATAGCACGAAAAAAGATAAAGTACCTAGGGATAAATTTAACCAAAGACACAAAAGACCTGTATGCAGAAAACTATGCAACATTGAAAAAAGAAATTAAGGAAGACACAAATAAATGGAAGCATATACCGTGCACATGGATTGGAAGAATTAATATCCTTAAAATGTCCATACTACCAAAAGCAATTTATAGATTCAACGCAATCCCTATTAAGATACCAATGACGTATTTCACAGAAATAGAACAGACATTTCAAAAATTTATATGGAACCATAAACGACCTCGAATAGCCGCAGCAATTTTGAGAAAGAAACACAAAGTAGGAGGGATCACAATACCGGACATCAAACTCTACTACAAAGCCACTATACTCAAAACAATCTGGTACTGGCACAAGAACAGACCCATAGACCAGTGGAACAGAATAGAAAGCCCAGAAATAAGCCCAGGTCTCTATGGACATCTAATATTCGACAAAGGGGGCAGAAGCATAAAATGGGGCAATAACAGCCTCTTCAACAAATGGTGTTGGGAGAGCTGGACGGCTACATGCAAAAAATTGAAATTGGATCATCAGCTGACACCATACACAAAAATAAACTCAAGATGGATAAAAGACTTAAATATAAGTCGCAACACCATCAAAGTTCTAGAGGAGAACATTGGCAGGAAACTCTCAGATATCCCACGCAGCAATTTTTTCACTGATATGTCTCCTAAAGCAAGGGACATAAAGGAAAGAATAAACAAGTGGGACCTCATCAAAATAAGAAGCTTCTGCATGGCTAAAGAAAACATCAGCAAAATGAAAAGGGAGCCAACCATTTGGGAAAATATATTTGCTAATGATACATCAGATAGAGGTTTGATCTCCAGGATATACAAAGAACTCACTCGACTTTACTCCAAGAAGACAAACGATCCAATCAAAAAATGGGCAAAGGACCTGGGCAGATGCTTTTCTAAGGAGGAGATACAGAGGGCCCAGAGGCATTTGAAAGGATGCTCAGCATCACTAGCCATCAGAGAAATGCAGATCAAAACCACCATGAGGTACCACCTCACACCGGTCAGAATGGCCATCATAAACAGATCCACAAAGAACAGGTGCTGGCGAGGCTGTGGAGAAAAGGGAACTCTAGTCCACTGTTGGTGGGAATGCAGACTGGTGCAGCCACTATGGAAAGCAGTGTGGAATTTCCTCAGAAAGCTGAAAATGGAACTGCCTTTTGATCCAGCGATTCCCCTGCTGGGACTATACCCTGAGAACACCAAAACGCCAATACAAAAGAACCTATGCACCCCAATGTTCATAGCAGCACAATTTACAATAGCCAAGTCTTGGAAGCAACCTAAATGCCCATCAGTAGATGATTGGATCAAAAAATGATGGTACATATACACAATGGAATACTATGCAGCAAAAAGAAAAAAAGAAGTACTAAACTTTGCGACAGCATGGATGGAACTGGAGAGCATCATGCTAAGCGAAATAAGCCAGGGGGCGAAAGACAAATACCATATGATCTCACCTATAAGCGGAACCTAACCAACAATGCAAAGAAGCAAGGAAAATATGACCAGCAACACTGAAAGGAAAAGAAATCAACAGAGACAAGAGGGAAGGGTGGGGCAGGGAAAGGGAAGGGAAGGGAAAGTCAAGGAACATATAGCAAGGACTTATGGACAAAACCAAAGGGGAAGAGCTGAGGGAGGGAAGGTGGGAGGGGGCGAGGGAAAGAGGTGGGGGGAAGGCAGAGGCAAATGTATTTAAAAAGTAAATAAATTAATTAAAATAATAAAAAAAAAATCAAATATGTAGAAAAGTATAGATAATTCTCACTGTAGCTTAAAAAAGTTCACCTCCCGAGAAGAAAAACATTAGCCTGTAAAGAAAAGCTCTAAATCAGAGATTTTCAACTTTTTTCATCTTGTGGCACACATAAACCACTAAAATTCTGTGGCATACTAAAAAATACATTTTATGCCAATGTGACATAAAACAATTAGGTATAATTTTGATTCACTCACCCTAGACGGCTATTGTGTTGGCTGCTGTCATTTTTTTATTTGACAATCTAAGGGAAAAAAGGTCAGTGCACCTGACTAAATAGTCAAGTACTGCATATTTTAAAAGCTCTTGTGGCACACTGGTTGAAAACTGCTGCCCTAAATGAATGAAAATAAAACACACAAAACAACCTTCAAATCTTCTGACAATTAAAACATGTTAAATTAGAACCTTTGATAATAGAATAAGGGAGAGGGTGCTTGAGAAAGAGAATTTACTTTCTATCTCTTTATACTAATTTAACCATGTGTAGGAGTGAAAAAGAAAGCTTTAATATAGCTTTTAAAATTTATAAATGCAGACTGATAGTTTGGAAGCCTGCTAAGGAGATGTGGCATGAAGAATATAAAAAGATAAAGAAGCATGGAAGAAATCTAAAGGATTACCAGTTTGGGATGTACTGTCCCATGAGGCAACTATAAAAATAGGCACTTCTCTAGATAAGATAGCAAATATAGGAAGAATGAAATTTCAACATAAGGAAGAGAAATCAAGATCTCAAAAAAGACCATTAAAAAACAAGAAATAAGAAACATGAATTTTTGAGAAAGAAACGGGGGGGAGGGATATAGGAATGTTTATGCTTGTAAATATTTCCAAGTTAGCAGAGGGTAACATTCTGATATAAGAATAATCACCCACATTTATAGTTAATGAGTAGTATTTAAAATAATGACTATGATTGTGTTAAGGAATGCTAGATCTGGGACCAAATTCTGCAGGTAAAATGAGTGAATGAGATGCTCCTATATTAAAGTTTCTGAGTACTTCCAAAAGTCTTAATTATGAACTAACGTTTCTCTTCATCTTACTCCAAAAATTAGTCAGGGGCTTCAAATAACATCTTATTTGTTTTTTCTAAGTGGGGGCAGTCCTTCCTAAAAAGCCTAATATGTGAGTAAAAGGAAATCATATTGATGTAAACGTTTTAAATTCTTTGGAGGAAATGTGTTCCAACATTGTAACAGTGGTCTTTGTTTCTATTTTGAAATAAGTCAATCTTTTAAAAGTTCCTTGAAAAAAGAATTGTTTCTTGGAAAAATCTCATTTCTATGTTGACCCAGGGGCAGTCAACATAACAGGAAAATCAAGTCAAAACAGCCCTTAAACATTTGCAACAAACCTAACTCGAACCAGCCCAGCTCAGCAAAGCAAAGAGCGTGGCATGGTCTTTAGGTTCTTCTAAGAAAGAGATCTGAGATAATTAGGTCTGAAGTCCGCCAAGCTCCTGCAGGTGTCTAATAAGAGGAAGTTCAAGTTCCCACATCGCTAAACAGGGGACGGGTACCTCCACTCGAGGAATAAGTCCGAGGGAGAAGGAGCGAGGTTGGTGGTGCAGGGCTGAGACAAAGACAGGTAGGCCACTGTGGGCAGCTTTGGGCAGACAGGCCAGAAGTCCGGTTCCACCTACAGCACGTGCCGAGTGCCACGTGGCAGTCTCCGCGGCAGACACGGGGGCGGAGAGAGGGGGGCAAGTCCACCAAACACCGCAGAAAGAAGAGCCCCCGCGCGCCGGAGGATAACTGGAGAGCAGAACCGACGTTACCTCCACCCACTGGGCCGCGGAGTCCCCTTCGGCGGGGTGCACTTGCAGCCGGGCATGCACGCACTGCTGCAGGAGCGCCCGGGCCTGAGGTGTCCGGCCGCTTTCAGCCATGGCTCGGACCCCGCTGCTGTCCCACGGGTTGAGGCCAGGCGCCCCGCAAGCTCTGTCTTCAGAGCGCAGGGAAAACAACGCGTGACGCGGCAGAGGGACTTCTTGATCGTTCGTTGCCCCGCCCATTGAGGGCGGGGCCTCTGCTCTGCTCTCGGTTGACTGACGTGCGGTTTTCAAAAACAACGTACTATCCCCTAAGCAGAACCTGCCTACCTCTGTAGAAGGTGCTTGGTGTGTTATTTTTAAACGAGTGAAAGGGCCTATTGGATCTGTTTCCTACACAACTTTTAAATGAACATTTTTCGGTTCAGAAAGCTTAAATTTCCTGACGTTGAAAAAATATTAATCTGCTTTTGTCCCTATGCCCATTATGAAGACAAATAGAATGAATCAATTGAATCACAAAATGTAAGCAGAGATGAAACTAAAAGCTGTAACTCTTTAAAAATTGTTCTTACCCCAAACAATAAGAAAATGCTGCCTCCTCTATCAGGAATGCTGTAAATTTTTCTGATCCTGTAGTTGTGGAATTTGGACATTACTCCTTTAGAAAACATCCTCGCTAAAAATATTCTTATCCAAGAAAGTTTGTGGTTGTTGACTTTTAAACCTGCTACTAATACAAAAATAAAATGGTATCGACATATACATAGGCACACAGTGGTGTTAAATTTTGTGATGTGTTTCCTTTAAGTAGATATTAGAATGTAAATAAAATTAAACAAGGACTTGATTTTGTTTACCACACATCATATTTTTTTATGATGTGTGAACAACCATCAGAGTAGCATTATTTTTCTGTAGGGTTGGAGGATTTAGAAGAGGAATAATGGTGTTACCCAGATTGCATTACCCACGTCATTGATTTGGGGTGTTGGCACAATATGCATATACATTGGGGTCTGTTTTAGAAGATGACATCGCTGACAGTATTGCTATCCATAAAAGTCGTGTGACTGAAGAAAATAATCCATGCATAATCAACGAGCCTTTCTACGTGAAATCCAAGCTGCCTGTTTGCGGGTTATCTTGCAGCTGCCTTACACTTTTTGTTAAAACAAAAAGCAAGATCTCACATTATCTCTGCTGCATTGCAGGGGATGACATTTGTAAACATTTTTTGATATTCGTGAAGCACAGATAAGTTGCATTCTCTGCACCTGTATGTCAGTACTGTAACTATTGAGTCTTATTTCTCTTTCACTCCCAGACTCAAGTTTTACAGGGCAGGAAGGACCTTTGACATAGAGACCCATAGCCTTGACCTAAAATACAAGAGAACTTCGATGTCCGTTTGTATATGGGTGCAGGAGTTAGGCAGGTCGCTTGAAAATAGGGTGAGAAATCTTTCCTGTGAATAGAGTCTGGTTAGTAGTGGTTAGTATCTTAAAGATCACCAATCACTCTGAACATTCCTTCCTGTTGGGTAGGGATTTCCCAGACATTACTGTAGGTAGCACAATAGTTTGTGGCTCACTTATTCTTTCCCTCTAACTGCAGAGGGCAGTAGAGAGTAAGCACCAAAGAGAGAGTTGTATTTCTTTTATGTATTTTATTTATTTTTTTAAACACCTAGCCTCATTCCACAAAGAATTTAAGAAGGTAAGACATACATGAACTAAAATAGGAAAATGTTAGGAGTAAACAAAATAGAATTTTGTCAATAGGTTACAATGGGAGAAATAGAAAACAAGATTGAATCTTCACTAGGGTACTGAGATGATACAGTATGTAGCAAAGTTTTCATAGAAACATAACTTTAATTTTTATTACAAAACATGTTCATCATATGTAATGTTGATATGGAACATGTTGTACAATTCCCTTCAAGTTAGAAGTCAAAGGCAAAGCATAGCATTAAGGAAGGAAGAAGTGGTTCGCTGGAATATAGAGAGTTTTGCCTCTTGAGTACGTAAGAAATCACTTTTTGGGCAGGAATAGTTTTGAAAGGGGACAGTATGGATAGCGGGTTACTTATGAATGCATTCTAGGCTCTCTGAGATGGTACAACAACTTAGTGTTGTTTTAAGTTGTTCAAGTTGACTGTCTCAAATTTTAGCATTCAAAAGTATTTCACAAATATGAAAAATTTGAGAACCACTTCTAAAAGATCCTTTACAATTGATGCTACGCTTCCTAGTTGTAAAGAGGAAAGGAAAGAGAAAGGAACTATATTCCATTTCATAGTCCTCAGAATAAGCAGAGCTTTTCTTAAGATGTAGCTCTAAAACGAGCCTCTTACCTGAGACCTTGCATAGGGTTATGTTAACTTTCCAGTAGAAGTGCTACTGGAAGAGGTAGATGTTTCATTTTAGGGAAGGCTGGAAGAACTCTAGCCCCTCACGTCAAAGTGCAGAGATTTATGTTTTTCAGTGTTTAAGGGGGTGATCAAATTCTGAGAAATTGGTTCATACTAATTAAAATGCACATGTATTGGGATAGAACCAGAATGCTAACTTACTCATTTGTAATAAGAAATGTTGCTGTGACTGAAATAGAAATTTTCACGTAGGGTATGATCAGCACATTTTCCCTTGTGTTCAAGCATGGGATAATAATCATATTTAGAAATCTCTTTACTAATTTGCTGTGAGAGAGAGTCATTCTTTTACAGGGGCATCTGAAACTAAGGTGTGAAAGCCCTATGTGAATTCTGGCTTCAAGGCATTTGCCATATGCACCAAGACTGCAGAAAGAGGAAACAAACAGTTAAATAAGAGCCTATGGGCAAATGCTCTAAACCCCAACCATATATTTTGTCATGGAGCCTCTTTTTACAGAGACAGATACTGAGACCACAAGGGTTAATCCAGTTTAAGCCTCTTCAAAGGGAAATAAGAGGCCTATGAATATGATATTTCCCACCTAAGAGCTGAGTCTATCTTTAATGTGAATAATTTGTACAACCAGGTAGGGGATGGAATTTAGTTTGGAACTTTATATTGATTATTCTTTTGTTCAATTTGCTTTTTTAAATTCTTATTGTATTACTGCACCTTTTGCTGGTGTGTTGCCTAGGTAACATACCATAGCAAGGGTTTTTTACTCTAAGGCAATGATGTATATCTTTGGCAGTCTGTAGGACCTCTCAGGGAAGGCTCATAAATTATTTTGATCTTTGGGTCATTTTTCAGTTCGTAGTGTTGTGATAACTTAGCAAAGCATTGCGTAACCTTTTAAATATTTGTCTGCTTCTGCTGGCTGTTTTGGCAAGTCAGGCCATCTTGTTATAAGGGCTCTTTACAATTTTGACACCTGCATGCTTTATAAGAAAAAAATGTGAAATATTTTAGAATGGACAAGAGATTTCTAGATATTCTTTTAATGGAATCCAAAAGCCTCTGGGGATTACCTGGTCATATAGGGCTATAAGGATTTGTCTTTGACTAGGCTGCTTTACAATTCCATAGACATAGAAGTTAACTTTTTTTTTTAACAGTGATAGTAAGCAGATTGTTCCTGTTCATAAAAATATAAAATCTGATTATTACCCAGTGCATATTGATTGGTTTTGCTACTTTTGCATCCATTTGTAAATTCACTTCAGCCTTCCTTAATTGACTATAAATGTGTAGCACCTTGAGTTCTCTGTTTTCTCTCTTAAATAAACTTTAAATTTTAGAATCGATTTAGATTTACAGAAAAGTTACAAAGATAGTACAGAGAGTAGAGTTTCCATAGACCCCTCACCCAATTTCTCCTACTATTAACCTCTCAAATTCCTCTGGTATGTGTCTGTCACACTAAGGAACCAGCACTGTTTCATTGATTTAACTTCATACTGTATTCAGATTTCATTAGCTTTTCTCTAAATTCTTTTTCTGGATCCCATTATATTTAGTAATCATGTTTTCTTAGACTGTGGTAGTTTCTCAGACTTTCCTTCTTTTTAATGATCTTCACAGTTTTGCAGGATGCCCCTCTATTGGAATTTGATGTTTTCCTCATGATTAGCCTGAAAGGAGAGAGGGAAGGAGTCTAGAATCCGGAGATAGAGACTTAGATAGACCCTAAGAGAAGGCATTGACCTGCCAAGAAGCACAGCTAACTCCAGGCGACCCTTTAGGAAGGAAGCTAGAGCAATAAATACCTGACCCCATTCTTCATCTTCCTTCCATTTCCTGCCATAGCTCCCCATTGGCAAAACCCAACCAGAAGCCAGGAAACATGCCCCCCAGCCTACAGGGCAGAAAGCGGGGTGAAGAATGCTTGAGTGTGGATCTGGAAGACAAGCAAAATTTATCTGGCACATTAACTGAAGAGGTCTTGAAGGTCACAATGGGGACTCCTTTGTCATCTTTTTGTTAGAAGATGGCAGCTGGGAAGATAGGGAGAGAGAGAGCTGCAGTTAACATTTCTAAAGGAGATCCTTAGTTTCTCTAAGAGTTTAGAGAGGGGACGCTTGACTTAGTGAGTTATCAGTGTAAGACGAGTCAAGGTCCTTGACTCCTCCCCACCTTTTTTTGGTCACTGGGGATATGGCAAGACATCAGAGGAGAGTGGTTGCTGGGATCCTACCAGTGGTGAAAATGTCCTTACACAGTTCAGCTTGCATGGCAGGAAAGGATGGAGCCACTGACTTCCAGGGGACTTGCAGACTGGAATAAGAAGCATGATAGGGGGGCCACTAAGGACCTAAGCCCTTACAGCTCTCCTGGAATCTTTTGGACGATGGGGGAAGAAACTTGAAATTGGATTTGATTTGATACAGAAAAACATAATAAATGATTTTTATTGTCTTTGAGGGTTGTAACTAAGTTCATACCGACTCCAACAGGAAGTAAATAAATAGAGATTTCAATAATGAATTGTTCGTATATACCTTACTCTTCAATTTCTTTGCTTGAGATGGAAAAGGAAAAGCAGTATTTTATCAGATGGCAGCTTCCTGGTTGTTTGCTCTTTTTGGCAAGTGAAGCGAAAGAAATATAGTAGCTGATCAACATGCTTGAGAAAGGACATTTTGAACATGTCACAGATAGAGAAAATTCCAACTCCAGAATTAATTAATAATGGCATTCATATATTTATCCAATTGTTTATAAACATTTACGAATTGTGCCAGACACCGAGCTAGGTGCTGGAAGTATATGAAGAGGAAGATGA